AAAAAAAAGTATGTGTATGTAAATATTTATAAAAATTTATGATATAAAAATAGAATAATAAAAAAAAAACACAACTGAATCGATATTTTACATAAAAAATGATTGGTTGAAAAGTAAATACAAAGAAAGAAAAAAAATGGTAAGAATTACAAGAATAAAAAAAAAAATTTGTAAATGGAGAAATTATATATACGCAAGAAAATATAAAAGTGAATGATATAAAATGATGCATATTTGTCCATTGTAGAATAAATTAAAATTCTTCTTTTTCGCATACTTAATTCCGTTAATTAATGATGTATTACATTAAAAGGAAAAATTGATTGTCTGATTAAAGAGCTCTTTGTTTAAATATAAATTATGCATTTGATTGGTCATGAAAAGAAAAATTTTTTTAGTTATATTTACTATACTATACGACATTGCGTTCGCTATTGGAATTTCGACCATCGTTATTTTGAACTTCCAAATTATCCCAATCAGGAAAACCATCATCTTTTAATGATAAATTAATTCCTTCAAATTTACTTTGAAGTGTTTCCATATCATAAGAATCACTTGTTCGATGATTCTGTTGATTTTGTTTTATTACGGCAGAACTCATAGTAACGGGAAAAGTTGGAGTAACAGGACTTAAAGCGCTCTTTCTTGTATCAGCTGAAGAAGAATTTGTACTTGAATTCACATCATCAGAAGCCGGAACTTGACCAGTAAAATGTTGATAAACACGTTTCGCCAAAATATATTGAGTTACGGCTATTAAGGGTTGAGCACCTCCAATATGCCACATAGTTGATAAAAAAATATTTACACCGTTAATTGAACTTAATATAGTATCATGAAAAATTCCAAAAATTCCCCACCAAGGAGCCGAAATCATTGGTAAAACTGCAATATATGTCATAGTATATTTAAGACGATCAAGAGCTGAACGAGTAGCATTACTGTGAGATTGATAATAACCTCCTGAACGTCTTGAAAATTGTTTCATCGAATTTCTTAAAATCAACATAAAATGAATTCCATAATAAGCACCAATGAGAGCAAAAGATGAATCAAAAATTATATATGATATATATTGAGCACCAGTCCATCTAGCAGCAGCAGCAGCATTACCATGATCTCTTGATAAACCTGATAATATAGCAAAAGGTAAAGCTGTTACTGTTGGATATAAACACCATAGACCGAGGATAATATTTAAAGTGTTTGGTGTTGGAATATAAATTTCACGCGAAGTAAAATAACTTAGAGAATCTTTTTTTGTTTCAATTTTTAAAGTTGCTTTTCCACGCGTGTAATTTACCGGAATTGTATATATGATACCTAAAAAAAGATGATGGTATTATTAATGTTTGGGTAATATTAATGTTTGGGTATTATTAACTAAAGTCATTCCTTAATAATTTGAAGTTTAAATTTGTCACAAGTCAATCCTTTATATAAGTTTTAACTCGTCACTCTTTAATAGTTTAAGTTTCGATATGATATTTTTAAGCTTAAGAAAGTATGTAATCAAGTCGATCCTTTTTTAATAAATAAATAAAATAAATAAATTAAGGTTTTTTAAACTTACCTACGAGATAAAGTATACCACCATAGCAAAGCATAGTCCAACCAATTTCTTGCATGAATTCCTTTTGCCAGAAACGAGTATATGCGTTTGTTAACATTAATAGAGAATGTAAACCTCTAAGATAACAAGCGATAGTCCAAAAGAATAATAAATTATCTACAGGTAAAGGTCTAATCCCATGACCATGATCGACGAATAAACCTTTCCACATATGTTTATAACGATAACCAAAAACAAATGTACCAGATATTGCAAGTATAAAATAACTTATAACTGAGACTGTTACTTGAGCTACCCATAATTCACTCATTACACAATTATATACTTCTATACGCCAGTCACAAAATGTTAATGCTGAAGGTACTTCTGTTGCATTTGCTATTGTATCGTTATTCATGATTTCTATATTTTTTTTTTTCTTTCTTCTCGTAAAAAAAAAAGGTAGGGTTTCTTTTCGATGGATGAGAGAGATGATTTTGGTTTGTTTTCTTTTTTCAGGTTGTGTTTTTTTTTTTATATATTAGGAAATTATAGGAAAGTTTTTTTTTTTTTTTATGTCTATCTATTATATATATATATTAATAATTTAAGCTCAAAAGGACATGTATTTTAAGAGAAAGTAAATTGATTTTTAAAATGGGCGTTGTATTTATATAATCAGTCCTGCTGAACCGTTTAAAAATATTAGTATTAATAAATTATAATAATTCCATGGGAGGGGGTCAAATAGGTCAATAATCGAATTCGATTAAAAGATTCGAATAAAATAAAAAAAAAAAAAAAAATAATCTGATAACGTTAGAAATAAAGAACCTAACCTATAAACTGTATAAATAGGTCGTGGTATACATGGAGGCGTAATTACTCAATTTATTTTTGTATATAAAGAAATATATATATATTTTTAATATAAAAAAAAATTTTTTTTTTTATTAATTACCTTATGTAAAACAAATTATCATGTATATATATATATATCGTACAACTTTAGGGGAATATAACAAAGAGAATAAATTGTTTATGTAGTAAAAGAGTGGCAATGGTTTAATATGGATTACACACACTAAAAAAGACAAGAACAAAGGAAGCTAATTATCACGGGAGGGGGGTGATGGATTAATACGACTGGGCGGATTTTAGATAAAGAAATTAAAAGGTGATACCGAAATTCCGTAGAAAAATCGGTAGAAATTTGTTCCTGTTGAAAAGAAGAGGAAGAAAAATGATTTCTGGTGGGGAGTCTGAATATATATTAATTTTTTTTTTTTTTTTATTTTTTAAAACTGTAATGCATCTTTATTAGAATCTTGATAAAAATTTATACTACTCTAATATAAAAGATACCTAGAGCCAACCGTGTCAAGCACGTGCCAACCCTATAACAGAGTAATTTTCGAACAAAAAAAATACATTACAGAAAAATTATAAAATAAAATAAATATTATACCGAATAAAACAGGCAAACTAAGCTATTTGTGAAACCTAACTATTTATAATCACTTTAATGTGCAGGAAAAAGGATGAAATATGTAATAATGTTGAGTACTGTGCATATGACAGCCTCTAAAAGATGAGTTCTAATGACCCCACACTCAACTAAATTTATTCCACCTAATCTTCCTTATCCTACAAAAATAAAAGTTAGTATTCTACCCTACTATTACTAAAAGAAAAAGTTATATATATTTTNAAAATAAATAAAAAAGAATTCAAAAAAAAAGACTTGTTTTACGTTTTTGGAAAACAAAGAAAAAAAAAAAAAATAATGATGTTTTAAAATAAAATCCTTTACTTAGAAAGAATAAACATCAAATATTTGATCGAAAATATCGGATTGAATATCGGTTTTTAATTTTAGAACATTGAACAGACCATATTAAGAATCAGTTTCCTCTATTAAAGCGAAAATTTTTTTATATAATAAAAAATTAAGCTTTTATTGTTTATACTCACAAAATGTACGATTTGATTTACCATATTAAGTGAACAGCAATTTTATGACAAGCTTAATTAGGAAGGTAGCACAAATTGAGATTTCGGTAATGTGGTAATGTTGTGTATTCATGTTTTGTTTTCACACATGTTGAAAACTCGCTTGAAACTACTTTAAATTTTTCAATCGTACTAATCCCATACGCAATAAATTAATTAATATTTTTGATCATGTAAAAACTAAAAAGTAGTAATCAAAAAATCTAATTAAAATTTAACGATAAATTAACGATAAATTAACGATTAAATTTTAACGCAAGGCTTAGTCACGTAGTTTACACTGCATCTTTTAAGAAAGTATGCTATGACAAATATGACAAGGTAGACGTTGTTAATAATTTTTTTAAATGTAACAATATATCTATTAATAAATTAGGTCTAGTTTACATGTACTCTAATTTTTGTTTATATTTGGTCCAATTTCCTTGTGGGGAAAAGTTTTTACGAGTTAACATTGGCTATTTACAAAGAAGGTTGATTATTGTTAATCAGGGGATTTGGGTAATATTGCGTAAGTTGATAATCCACGAAACATATTTGTTATTTTATTTTTATTTTTTCTTTTTTTTTGCGGGGAAGTTATTACAATGGTTGGAATATATTAATATGGAAAACAAGATTCACCAATTAGTGGGTAATTTAGTTTTTGGGTATATATTATAAAAGAAAAACCAGTAAAACCAGTGAAAAATAAAATAACGAAAAAAACATTAAAAATAATTCTTTTTTTTTCTTTTTAACAAATTAAAATAAAATATTCTATTATAGTAATTGGTTTAACATATCTCCAAAGAATTTTGTCACGATTTCAAGTGAATATATAGTGTACGATTATTCATTGATGCAAATCATATTTTTGCATGATGAAAATAAAATTCATCAGCTGTTAAGAAATAAATTTCTATTCGTCAAAAAATCTTTGACCTATAATTAGAAATTCATATACCAATAAAAAAAAATATATATATCATTTCAAAAAAGAAAAAAAGAAGAAATATTAAAATATTAAAAAGTTAAACTAGTTTTCATCGAATATATTTATATGCGATATGAAAATCAATTAATTATAATCCACATATAGAATGCATCATACCCTATAACTACTATATGTATAATTTTGGCTATTTGGCATAAAACAGCAAAAATAAGCAAAATAGCATAAAATCATATAATGATATCCTAATATGTTAATTTGGACAAAAGTACTACAAACATTTTTATGCGATTTTTGCTTTTATGGAATTTCAAATTACTTATTTTGTTAAAGAAAACATATAAATTACCATAGGAGATATTATTGAGTATTACGGGGATCTTTGATATACAAAATTTCCGATGTGCTATAAATAATGCTATAAATAAATAAGGATCATCAATTAATTTATACAGGGGATACAGAGTATTAGGAGGACCGGGGGTGAAGAATATAACATTAATTTTTAAAAAAAGATCTACTACATTACTAACATTGAAGTTTTTATACAAAAGTGACCGAATAAATCTGGAATGAATAGATTTACTATTTTTATATTCATTTATTTTTTTTTTCCATTTTATTTATCCAAATATATTCTGTAAAGATTAACCAAATTTAGAAAATAATTTTAATAATTCAAAATTTATGAGAAAAAATTCAGAAATGGAATATCCATTCAAGGAATACAAGTGATTTAAAAAATCAAATCCGGTTAACTACGTATTTAATTAATTAATGATGTATTAAATAAATGTATCTAATATGACTTTTTTTTTTTTAACGAAAATATTAGAAAAAGTTTAATTATTTTGATTGGTTTATAACTTTAATACTATATACTGACTTATTAATAGTATGTTAATTAATATTATTAAAATGACCCAAGTGTAAAAAAAATTGTTTCTTTTTGAACTTATTCAAATTTATTCAAATGATTGGTTATTTGGTTTTACTGTTTTTGAATTGATAAGATATTTGTAAAACATTAATATTGAACTAGATGTCTAATTGTTTTTTTCCTTGTATAATTTTATAATTTTTTAACAAAGAAATTTACCCCTCCCAAAAATATTTTTTTTCTATATAGAACATGTAACGTATACTATGTGTATACTATGTGTATACTGGTTCGCGTTAAAGAAGGAGTCTTAATTTTGGTCACATTTAAGAGGCGCAGCAACCTTGTTACGTCATTAACGTCACTAATTATTTACGCAATCAAACATGCATTACGAAATCAAACGAATCAAAATTCCCATTGTACTTTTGACAATGTTAAAGTATTTACCATTTTTTCTTGGAAATATGATCAAATTATATTAATTATATTTTTAATAATGGTCTTTGTTTTAAGAATTGTTTATTTATTTGTTTTTTTTAAAAAAATAATTGCATAATTACTTTTTTTGTAAGTTGATAATTATAATTATGACTTGAGATTGCTTTTGCATGCTGTCGAAAAAATTAAAGAAACTAAAAATATTAATAATAATATTATTAATAGTAATAAATAATATAATATACAGTATATATATAATTATGTAACGGTAAAATGATAATAAGAAAAAATTATATTATTGTTTCTTTTTGACATATGTAGAATTAAATGAAAGGTGTATGAATGAATACTTACGAAATTTTACGTATTAATCATATTAATAGTATTAATTGTATTTGATTGTATTTAATTGCATTAATTATATTATTTGTATCTATTTGTATATTTGTATATTTGTATCAACATATTTTTAGGGGGGATGAACCATCAAATTATTACCGCAGTAATATGAATTATTAACGATATTACGATTATCTTTCTTCTCAAATATGATCGTGTAGAACATATAAAAATTATTCATATGAAATTACTATTTACAGTACGAACTAATAATCGTACTACTTGATATCAATTTTTGATTTGTTCTTGATAAAATTATTTTTATTTTTTATTTTTTATTTTTTTTTTATTTTTCATTTTAATTTCTAATTTATTTATTTTAATATTTCGTATATCTCCTTGTCTATTCAAAAAGAGATATATTTTTTTTTAAAAAAATGAACGAATAAATTAATAAACGAATAAAATAATAAACGAATAAGTTAATAAACGAATAAGTTAATAAATTATTATACGAATAAATTAATGAACGAATAAATTTACAAATTCTCATTTCATTTTCTTGCCATGAATGTTAATTTCATTCATGTTATTTACTTTATAATTCACATGCAGCAGATTTGTTTATTAAAAAAAGTTCATGTTCTGAATTTACATTTACACGCTGTTTGTTTATTTACAAAACATTACATACGCTTTATAAAATAGATGTGATGGATTAGATCACGCATGGGAAAGTGAGAAACGCATTTTTTCCTAAAATAATAAAAGAATTAAATACTTAATCTTATATTCTCATTCTAACTTAAATTATATTAAACTATTTTACCGGCATTATCATACGTTCAATAAAATTTCATCCAATAGAATTTCATCAATGATAGAAAGGTTTTTTTTGTTTTGTTTTCCAAATTAAATTTTTTAAAAAGTCTGTCATTAATTCTTTTCTTCTGAACTTACGTAAAATACGTAAATAACATTCCGTATAATTCTATTTATAGTAATTATATATCATCAATTTTTGTACTTTTTCATTAATCTTACTGTATCCAAAACTTTACATACCACTTCTAATGATGAAAAAGAAAAAAAGTCATTGGTTAAACATCTTAAGATACGCGCAGCCTTCTTGTTTACCATAAATTGAATATTCGGAATTTCTATTTCGGAATAAACTTTAAAGCGCGACTCAATTCCTTAAAAAAACTACGCAAAATAGGAAATATATCGGGACGGAAAGAATCGGATATTTCATTATTAAAAATTAAAGTTCATTATAATAATTACATTAAAAGTAAATTTCATTATAATAATTACATTAAAAGTAAAGTTCATTATAATAATTACATTAAAGGTAAATATTTATCACATCCATAATAATATTTTTGAACGATAAGAAAAAAAAAATTTTTTTTTTTTTTCTTTTTTATCTTTTTATGACTTAAATGACTTAATGATTTTTTTTAAAAAAAGTTTACTCAAAAAATTTCTATATATACTTTTATAGAATTAGATCTTCAACACATCTGACTATGGTTTAACAGTTTCAAACCTAAATTTAAATTTATACCCATTATTGATATATATTTATTTTATTTAATATATAATGAAACAGAAAAATCGATCAAGGGTGGGTGGGCGTATAGTCTGTTCGCCCATTGACTTTTGTTGTAATACAATGCATCTTGTAATACAAATTTAGAAATTACCTAAAGAGTTAAGTGTCATTAAAGTGTCATGTACTCATTGTAAATGAGTTTGATGACCCCTGTAGACCCCTGTATTAAGTAGTAACACGACATAATGACTAATACTATTTTGTCTTTTTTGTTCATCGTATGATCCGCTGTCAGAAATTTTTACCAGATTTAGTAAATTTAAATCCTATGCGGCCGATATGTCAGTCACCGAACCTTTTTTTCTTTTTTTTTTTCGCTGTTTCGTGGTTTAAAAATTATTTATTAAAATTTTTTCAGGCGTGAGGATCTTCCAACTTTACTTTTTAATGATTAAATGTTAAGACCATAATTAGAAAGTAGGCTGAAAAAATTTTTTAATTTTTTTAATTTATTGCATCAATGTCTACATAGAGTTTAAAGAAGGCTGATAAATTTGGTAAATTTCATTATTATTTTATGATTTGCATTTCGGATATTCATTTTTTTTTTTTTAAAAAAAAAAAACTTTTTACATGAAAATACATGAAATCATTATACCCTTTCGGAAAATAAAAATTTTACTATAAATCGAAATAGTTTTGAAACCCATGTTTAAAAAAAAAGACTAATTACGTATTGTATCACATACGGTATATATTCTGATCAATGAAAAAGATCTACGAAAAAATACTGTAATAAATTTATTATTAGACGAATAAATCAAGATTTCAAGAAATTTTTTTCATTTAAAATCATTTTTATTTAATCAAAATATATATTTATTAAAATAAATTACTTTTTTTATATAACTTATACTTTTCGTTTATTCTAAATTGAGAATTCAAAAGAATCAATGAAAAAAAAAAACTTCTTTAAATATGATGGATAAAATCTTCTTCGTTGATTGAAAACTAACTTTGATTAAAAGTTTAATAACTTGTATTGTAAAAATATTACAAATTATTACAAAATATTATAAAATATTATAAAATATTATAAATTGATTAAATAATTGATTTAATTGATTGTAATTTAAAAAAGTTATTTAAACTTTTTTTTTTAGGATCTCTTACAGAAAATTCCTAATTGAAATCGCGTCTTTTTTAGGTAAATTAATTAATTTTTTATTTTCCCATTTATGCGCAAGTGTAAGGAGTGAAAATAACGCAAGATTTCGGTTTTCCCCAAATTTCATCATCATTTTCCAATCTCGACGCGAGTCAAACTTTTTTAATATTTCCTTTAAAAGTTTTTATTACTTACACCAATAAGTGAAGAATTTCGTTACAGAACATTTTTTGAACATTTCTAATCTTGGAGAACAAGAAGAAAAAAGATGAATTATAGGCAATAGGTATATATTCGGTTATGATTATTCGGATTTTTCTTTGGCAAGTTTAAATAGATTATATAGTTTTTATATAGTTTATATAAGTTTACATAGTTTACATATTTTACATCTCCTTTTTTTTTAGATCATTTAAGGGAGAATACACATGCACAAAAAAAAAAAGCCAAAAAAGCGAGATAAAGTTGTGTTGCTATTTAATTATGCTGCATCATTTATTACTGTATGTATGATATCGCGTTTAGTAATCGTTTAAATTAAATTTGTAATAATTAATAATTTTAATTTGTTGAAAAAAAAGTTAAAAGGGGTGTGAATTGTTTATGATTATTCATGATATGGTATATGGTAATTTTAAATTAATTTTCATTTTTTAAACAAAGAAATTTTTAGATCAAAAAAAAAAAAAAAAAAATTTTTTTTTTTTTTTTGTTTTGTAAACATTATGCGCTTATTATGTCTTATTATGTCGTGCGTTAATAATACTATCTATCTGCTTAATGTTGCGTTTAACTATGCTGAGTTACAAATATTCAAAAAGCATGAGGGTTTTTTCTATATTTACAAAATATTTTTTTTTAATTATTTAAAATTTATAATTTTTGCATCATTTAAAATTAAATTAATCGCGTGATTATGAAGTATTTTGGATGTTCAGTTGCCGCAGTAGCGTCTTTAACATCCAATCAAAAAATATAAATTGGTTTCTTAGTTATCTTTATTTGGTCAAAAGAATGCGAGAATGCGAGGTTTTAATTAAAAAAAAATAAAAATAAAAAATAAAAATAAAAATAAAAATAAATAAAAATGAAAAAAAATTCAAAAAATAAAAAAAAAATAGAAAATAAAAATAAATAAAAATGAAAAAAATCAAAAAAAAAAAATATTTGGTGGTTTAAAATAATTTACCAATCATGTTTTATTATGCTTTATTGCTTTATTGCTTTATGCTTTATTGCTTTTTTGTACATTCTCACTCTCGTTTTTTACCGAAAAATTTTTTGTCTTTGTGTTATTTTTTTTTTTTTTCATTATTCCAATTCATTGCTTTACAAGTACATATTAAAATTTTTTACACAATTATCTCTCATGCTTTACAAGTACATATTAAAAATTTTTTACACAATTATTCTCTGTTATTGAATTTTTTTAAAATATTTAAATTAATCAAAATAAAAATAATAATAAATAATAATATATAAATGATAATAAATAAATTTTTAAAAAGTTCTAAAGTTCTAAATTCTAATTAAAAATTAAAAATTTTTTTTTTTAAACTTGAAATCCGATAAAAAAAATTTCAAATTCGGAATATTCGAATCACCGAAGTTATTGAGATTTGAGATTATTTCAAATCAAATATTTAATTTTCATATTTTCATAGTTAAAATCGAAATATATATTTAAAATTTCTATATCGGGAGTAAAAAAAAAAGGAAAGATTATTTTTTTTTTTTTTAATAATTTTTTTTTGAAAGCGAACAACTTTTTACGTGCTAAATATTATAATGTTATTTTTTATTTTTTGTAGATTATAATATATAATAAGACTTGTTTTTAAAAAAATCCTAAAAATCGGTGTAACCATGTAGTAATATAAGGTAAATGACAGCAGCCTGATATTCGATATACCGATATACTATTAAAAACTTGATATACCGATAAAATTTTATTTTCCTACTATATGTGAGGACATACAATTATCGGTATTTCCTAAAAATTTCATATATGTCCCGACATATCGTTATATAAAGGTTTGACTGTAATGTGATTTATTATGTTTTATATAACGACATAAAGGAAGGAATCCAAAAAATGGTATGTCGTTATACAATAATATGTCGTTATAATGAGATGTCGTTATAACGGGTGGCACTTGTATTAATTTTCATAAATTCATACCTATCTGGTCAAAATTTATCATTTATATTCTCTATGTTCTCGTGTTACTTCGTAAAGTAATATTTTTTCGCCGAATAAACGCTTGCGATTAGAATGAAGTTCCGGTTGATACTTGAATAAACGCATTGACGCTTGCGATCAGAATTAATCTCTGGTTGATACTTGAATAGATGCTTGTGATTAGAATTAATCTCTAGTTGATACTTGAATACTTGAATAGACGCCTGCGGTTAGATTTAATCTCTGGTTGATAACTTGAAACCTTCTCATTGTTATCTTTCATCTTCCGTTTTTGAATTATCCAATATACGGATCGATTTCATAAGTCTTAGATATTAAAGAATGGTGAACACAAGAATAATAGAAAAAATATTTTTTAACGCGAGTATGTAAAAATTTTTTTGAAAGCAATAAATTATAGCGTTTAGTGCTGTATTTCTATCTCATAAAATATTTTTAATCTCGGCTGGCATTACGGCATTAGGAAATAAGTTACGATTTTAATCATGTGACACGTAACTTGTTGTTTGATTAAGTGATCATCTGGAATTTCGATAATTCTGGCCAAAATCTAAAACGCAATTTTTCTGGAAAATTTTATGAGAAATCTTAATTTTTATTTTTATTTTTATTTTTTTTTTTAAAAAAAAAGCAGTTACTGTTTTATTCGTACATTATTCTGTCACTAAAAGAAATGACCGATCTACACAAACAATATGAAACTATGCTGGAAGTTATACGTTCAGACAGAACGCTTGTTTTTCCTCCCCCAGTTAAGGAACCTGATAAGTTGACCGAACGTTTAAACAAGATAGATCTCAGAGATCATCCTGTTAACGGACGTAAACTTTTAAAATATTTCGTCTCATTATATGGTAAAGACTTAACTAAACAAACAATCGCAAGTGTAGTCGAACATTTGTGGGTGAATGCATCTCCACAAGAAAAGACTGAATACGTTCTTTTGGCTTCCTCAGTGAACGTAAGTAAACCAAATTCAGAATTTACTTTTCTCAATTTATTGATTTCATCACTAATCTCGATATTATTTTTCATTACAGAGTATTAACATAAAGACGTCTGAAGCAGATTTAACGACAGCTAAAGCAGATTCACCAGTCAAGAGTTTTGTAGACATTGGATATTTCAATTTAAACGATGTTATTTCATGGTGGGAAGAAGAAAAAGAATTTTATGAAGAGGACAGTTACGATGATATTATGTTATCCTTCTTTAGGGAGAAATTTGGTAATGTGAAGGACTTTATGGACATTGTCGATGATAAATACTTCTCAAAACAAACAAAGATTGCATTATTGGATTTTTACAATAATTTTTTGCCAATTTTTTATGATTATACGCCTTGGGAATGGTTTTCCTGGTATATTCGTATGGAATGTAAGTCCACAAGTACACCAGCACCATGTCCTTTCAATTCGGTCAAGACTAAGTTGCCAAAAAATCTTCAACATTTTTATTACCAAGGAACTATCTCTAAACAAATTAAAGATGAAGAGTTGAAACAACTTAGGGAATTTATTAATTTGATTATGGAGATTAAACACCCAGGGCAAGATGATTCAAATATTTGGTACCATGGAACGACTAGTGTTGCTGCATCCAACATCGCCCGAAGAATTGATCTTACTGTATGCAGTCATTTTAACCATGCTTTCGGCTTTCATCGCAGTTTCTATATTGGTGATAATCTTAAATTTTGTCTTATTTGGGCATTGAAAAAAGCGATGACTTTAAGAACTGTTAACTGCGCACTGGTAGTTTTTTGTATAAATGAAGGGGAGTTACACTTAATTCAGGATTATTTGAAGCTAATATCTAATGAAGACTCGCAAGGTCATGTTAATACTGGTAATATTTGGGAAGAAATTGTCCCAGCTTCCAAAGATTCAGACGAGAATAGCAACCTGGATGACGATCCAATACGACCAAATGTGCAATGGGTTGAAGGGCCAAGTCTGAAACAAATTGAAAATAGTTGGGTGCCAAAAAAGGAGGAGATCATTCGTTCCTTCAGGACTGATAAAAGCACAAAATTTCTTCAAAGTCAACTGGCCTTTATTATTACCTTTAAAAATCCGATGGTTAGTTAATACTGTCATTTTTATTGTATCATTCAAATGGTATTCATTTCTTTGGGTGCCTTTGTTTACCGTTTTAGTTGTTTCGTGAGATCTTAAAAAAAGATTTTAGCTTATAATTGCTAAAACAAAAAGTAAATTTATTTTATTTATTCATTTATTCATTTAATTTATGAATTTATACTCTTCATTTCAGTAGATGTGAACGAAAGGGTACGATTCTCAATTTTCTTTGAAAAATCTGGAAGATTTTAGACAATTTCCATACGTACATGTGATCCTATTTATGAAGAGATTCATGGCAATATGTTTAATCCAATGTGAGATTTCTGGATGTCGGAGAGCTAAAGAATTTTAAATAATGTTCTTGACATACGTGCTAATTAATATCACGATTAGCATGAAGTGTATATGGACCATTTCAAGATTTTTAACAACATTACGAAATCGGATTAACTCAGTGTTGGTCCCAGTTATTTTTGATTGGACTTGGACTATAAGTTCAGTCACTAAACGAGTAAAGAATTCCTCGTCCACCAAATTCATTTATTTTGTACCGTAAGGCAAAACAAAAAGTGTCCAATAGTCCAGTTTTATTTTTGATTATTAGTTTTTCTCAAAATAGTATTGTATGTAATGATATTGTTGTTAACAATAGAAACAAATATGAAGCGTGAAGCGTGATGGAGTCAAAAAAAAAAAAATCCACCTGTAGAATTTACAATTTGTTTCATGCCTTATAATCACATACTATCATGTATATTATTAATTTATTCATAAATTATTATATACTTTAGTAAGATTATCAATAACAACATGATTGAAAATGTACGACTATATCTACAATCCCGACAGAACTTTTCAATAAATATTCCAATTTTTTTTTTTTAATAATCAAGCGATTAAAAATAACCCAAACCCTCATAGTCCCCCTCAATGCTAAACCCCCTAATGAAATGACCGATTAAAAATAGTTAAAATGTCCATCCCTATTTACAATTATTTCCGGATTTTTGAAGTATTTTAATAATTATTCAATTGATGCTAAAAATAACTCTCGCCAGCTGCCAGCGCCAGTATATTTAAAGCTTTTTAGTTCTTTTTAAGCCTTAACCCAATAATCCAATACTCAAATTTCCTAATATTAACGTTATAATTACTAATAATGTGGATATATATATGTGTGTGTATAAAATTTTAAGTTTTATGATATAATAATAATAAATGAATAATAAATGTTCATGTTTAATGTTCGTTTTTGATTATATAAATTTTTTTTTTTTTTTTTTTTTTAACTATAAACACAATTCAGAATCCAAGGATGATTTAATAAATCTTGAGTAGATGGACGATTCATTGGATTCACTTGCATACACTATTAAAAACAAAAAATTATATTAATTAGAAAAACGAATCAAAATATGAACAGTATTAATATTATAAATACTTACCGAGTAAATAAAATGTTTAGCTTCAACAGAAACACCATCATCAAGTAAAGTATAATCAGCCTTTAGAATCCTGTTGGTTATATTAAATTCATCATCATCTTCGAAAGGAGATTCATTTGTAAGAAACATATATGTTAATACTCCTATACTCCATATATCAGTTTTTTCGTTATGTGGTAAACCTAATACAAGTTCGGGAGATCTATAAACAGGCGTACCAACTCCTACACCTTTTAATCTAAGTAATAAATTAATTATTAACAAAAATAAAAAAATTCTAAAAGATCCTTAATTTAATTTAACGTACTTTTCTTTATCATTTGTCAATACTCCACAATGTCCAAAATCACAAATTTTAACGAGGCCTTTATCAAAAAGCAAAAGATTATCTGGTTTTAGATCTCTATGAACAATATTTCGTTGATGCATATAATCGACTCCACATAATACTTGTAAAATTATCTAAAAATAATAAGAATTAACATTAAATAAATGATACAACAATTTGAAAAAAAAAATAAACTATAGATTCATTTACCTTTGCAGCTGCAACTTCATCTAACGATCCATTATTTAAAATATATTCTAAAACATCTCCTTGTGGGGCATATTCAAGTATAAGATAAATATAATTTCCAAACACAATTGTTCCATAATATTTGACAATAAACTTATTACTAAAAAAAAAAAATTCGAAAATATATGTTATTAAAGAAATATAAATATATAAATAAATAAATAAGATTGATCATTTCTTACTCTAATATACTATGTATTATATGTTCATTCTTCAATAAATCATGATTTTCATAGATTTCTAACGGTATCTCTTTTAACACAAATTTCTTATTAAAAATTTTATCTCTGACTAAAAGAGCCTTTCCATAATGTCCTTTTCCAATTTCTTTTATAAATTCAAATGTCAATATACTCTTTGATCTATTATAAGAAAAATTTAAAGAATTATTTTAATACGAATTTTTTTCATAAAAAAAAAACAAAATTTTTTTGAACGTTAAAAAGCACATAATTACATCGGTATAATAGAATTTCTTCTTGAAGAGTATGAAGAGTATGCTGTCTTATTTGTAATTTTATTTGTTTGACTATTCGTTTTTGGAGTAAAAGTATTCTTAAATCCAAAAAAAAAATATAATTAATTAAAGTTGGTTATAGTTTTAAATAAAATTAGTAACGAAAAAGAAAAACTCTTTTTACCCTTTACCTTATCTTTTTCTTTCTCTTCCTGAGTACGTTTTGAACTGTATGAACTGTATAAATTCCACACGTTCCATAAACTTACCATAGCTACACTAAGTCCAATTAACAAAAATACTTTTGACATGCAACTTGCTAGCTAAAGAAAAAAGTTGTTCCAACGATACTTTTGCTGGAACTATTTTGTTTTGAAAGTAAAAAAAGTTATAAATTCAACTATTTTTACGTAAACTCACGACTGAGAAATAAGTAAACCAACCAAATTCAAATTTATATCCATGAAACCTAATTTAATTTAAAAAATAAAGTATATCATAGTTTCCAAAGATATCATAATGATACAGTTCAAATGCAACAAAATACTTTATAGGGGAAAACAAAATCATGTATATCGTCTTTTATTTGATTAATAACACATTGTAAATGTTACAATGCATATGAGATATAGTACTATGTTGTCAATTGTCATACATTATTAGCAAATCATAATTAGATAAGTTAAAAATATGAATTTATTTAAAAAGCGTAATATCTAAAAATAAATGAATAAAAATACACAAGAATAATTTCTCTCCTTATAATACATAAATAAACAACAATACACAAACTAAGAAATAATTTCTTTCCTTATAATGCATATAACATGACTAGCATCAACTTTCCAAACCATTTTTCCATCTCTTTCAGTTCTTCCCAATCCGAATCGTCTTTCTTTTTCATCTTCAACCTTCATTAACGCTGCATTTTTAATTTCATTTAACATAAATTCTAACCTTCCTTTATCGAATTCTTTTTCATTTGATTCCAAAAGATTACCACATAATCCCAACACGGCCATATCTGCTAAAGATTTTGCATAAAATGAAAATTTATGTTTCAATGTTTCTATTTTTGGCTTAGTTTTGAATCCGTCTTCATCTTTTGATTCAAGATATTCGATAATTTGCCCTTTATATATCAAATTGTCCCTAGCTTGATTTATTTTAGCAATATTTTGAAATAAATTGTATTCGTGAAGAACTTCTTCATAATATTTTTTTTGCACATTTCCACCAAAATCTTGATCTTGATCTCGATAAGCGATATATATTGCACCCCCTGGTTTCAGAATAGAGTAAAGAAAAGTGATGAAATTTATAATATCTTTGTGTGGGTCCAAATTGTTCTGTTTATAATCGGTACTAAATGAAAAAATAAATAAATAAATAAATAAAAATTTCAATTTAATTATTAATTTATTTTTGAATTTTACTTACAAATGATAAATCACATGTATAGCGCTAATAAAATCTACTTTATCTGATGGTAAAGGAGGTTTCTCACTGTTCTCCTTAACTTCATAATAATCCTGAACGTAACCTTGATAAACGATATTTTTTTTCAAATGTGGATATTTTTCTAACGTTTTTAAATATGATTTTAATAAATCTGGATTTGGTTCAATTACATTTATAAGATTTTCTCTTTTTCCTACATTTTTTGATAATTCTTTAGAAAAAATCCAATCAAGTGGTGATCCAGATCCACCTCCAACATCTAACAACTGAAATTCTTTAGAGGAATCCAAAATTGAATCATCTAGTGCTTTTTTTAAAGTAGGATACATTCCTGCACGGTTATCAACTCCAAAATAATCATTTGGTGATGTAACTTCAGTTACACCGTCATTTAAAGCTAATACACGAAGACGAAAAACATGATCATATGCTTGATTATTATTGATATTTGTGAATTCTTTTAATACTTGTTCTTCTGCTTCAATTTCATTTTTTGAATTTGCCAACTCTGAAATCGACATTTTTTTTTTTTAAAAAAAAAAATAATTGGTACGTTGCACATATATATACCCTTCCGCGGTGATAATAGAAAGATATCACATATGTTAATTAGCGGATTTGATGATCGGAATGTCGATCATTTTGACTAAAATTAACGTTAATTTTGGCCAAAATGATCGACATTCTGACATCAAGTGAGTCAAATGACAAAAACCGGCTGAATCCGTACAAGGTTACATTATTCATATACTATCATAGTACTAAAAATTCAATCAGTACAACGAAGGTGATATAAAATAAATAGTGTGATATAATCGTATTCAGGGTCCTATATAAATTTTTGGGTTAGCTGTATTATGATTTATGATGATAACCCTAAAGCTTAACATAGATGAGTAGTTTGTGAAAAAAAGATCTGCCGTTTTAATATGAATTTGTAGCAATTGAATTTTTTTCCCACGAATAAGGGGTTGAGTAATACGAATCTGCGCATCATACATTAACTATATTTATCACATTGATAATTAACGATCAATGATATATCAATGGTTCATTGAATCATTGAATATGACGAAATATTTTCTGGGTTTTATTGCCATTTTCAGAAATGTTGACAATCTAAAATTTTGACCATTTTATACCGAACACACCGAACACACCGTGAACACATACAAAAAATTATGCAAACTTGAAGTATTCATGCATAACTTTATATAAAAACTATTTTTGTCATTTTTTAGATATGAATAAAATTGAAAATATGAAAATTTGTACCGAACACACACCGAACACACCGAACATTGGCAAATACAAGCAAATACAAGTGAATACATATATGTAAATAATATAATTTTTATACATTTTTTTATGCACACTACCTAAAAATATATTACTGAAGTTTTAATTTTGTTTTTTTTAAAGGAAAATTTGTTTTTTTTTAATTTTAATTGCTGTGTTCGGTGTGTGTTCGGTGTGTTCGATTTATAGAAATGATCGACATTCTAATGTCAACATTTCTGAAAACGGCAATAATTAGGCGTATGTTTAACATGTTCACGTTATTTTATAACCAATATATTTTCCGTTAAGAAAAATAAAAATATCTTTTGCTCTGTATTTACATTTTTAATTAAAATATCAGATATATCATTATGACGACTTTATTAATGTGTATAATGTTTACAAATATAACATTCCAATGAAAATAATTGAATAAAAGGACGACTTAAACGAGAGTTTATTATAAAGCATAAAATATTTATATGTAAAAAAATATTCTAAAAATCTTAAAATTGTTTCTAATGTCTATATAGATTATTCATTATTATCTAAAAAAATTATTAAAATGATTAAAAGAATTTAAATTGCCAAAGAATGTAATTTATTCATATGATGACTTAAAATGCCAAGAGCGGGAATTGCGCTACGTTCAGTTAGTTGAGAAACACTTCTTTCTTTCAATATTTCACCTAAACCACGTCTATGATAAGTGCAGTGTGGAAGATATAACTCTTCCAAATGATGATAAGATCCCCAAATATTCTTCTCAACAGATTTCTTCAATCTATGATCTTTGACATAATCAACATAGATATGGGCCATCTTTCTAAAGCAAGGATCGCAAAAGAACGATCTTGGTATACGAATTTTCTTTCCATTTCCTTTGATAACGAATTTAAGATCGTGAGTAACAATAGCCTTTGGATCAGCGTTTGTTTTCTCTTTTACCCATTTAGTGAGTTTTTCAACGATTTTAATACTGCAGAAATCTATATAATAGAGAGTTTACATTTTTTAAGTTATATATAAAAGAACTTTTTATGTTGTGAGCACCTTAAAATTATAACTTACCACCATCATTATTCTTTTTACAAAGAGCTTTTCGGGCGGGAATTCCAGTATAATAGGTAAGTAAAGTTCCATAAGCAGCGTAAGCGGTTTTATCTTCAAAATCCTTAGGGTTATTACTCCAATTAAACTTAACACTTAATTCACGTTTACAGACACTTTGAATGTTATTATAGATCTTCTCAACTTTTTGTTGACTACAATGGAAACCTTCATGACAATAATCTTTTAACCCTTTCTTAAAGAATTTAAGATCATAAGGTTTTGGTGTTTCCCCGGAATCTTTGATAGCTTCAAAAATATCACGGCCAAGGTTGAAAGCAGTGGCACATTGTCCAGGATTTTTGAAATGACTCCACATTAACGATTGACATTTATTACAATTTTTAGTTTTGAAAAGTTCTTCACAAGTATCAGGAAAATCATGTTTCCATTGTTCATAATCATCATAATCTCCGTGGGCTTGAATTTGGATTACAAAAATCGCGAGTAATGCTAAGAGAAGAAGATATTGAGACTTCATCTTTGTTGTATAATATTTATGTATTATTCTTATATCCTTTATTTTAATTTATTGTTTAGAAGAAATAAATCTTGAGGATGACTTTTGGATAAAGCGAAAAATGGGACTTTTATATGTATTTTACCTTCTGCGCCATTATCATAAAAAGAGATATTGTAATTGTAATGATTGTGTCATGAGATCATTCTTTATTTCTCCAAAATTAGTTAATTAATAAATTTCCTATAATGGGGATTCTTCCATAAAGCGAATGAGAACAAAGTAGTAAACATAATCAAAATTATATCAAATTAAGTCAAATTAATCAATATAAAAATCAAACCATTTTCAGGACATTTCTTACCGAAAATATTTATTTCTTTTGATATCTTTTTTTATTGTGATCATCATGTCATACAGAAAATGTATATAAATAGGTATCAAAAAAATGCGGGGTTATTATATATTGCGTTTTTTCATTATTAAATGGAAATCCAAACTAATCAATTTAATCCTTATTTATCTAAATAAAAAAACGAAAATATTTTTAATTTTCTTTTTTTCGTAGACTCCGAAGAAAAAGTTATTTTATTATCATAAATTCATGCATTTCATTTTCACATTTCCTTATTATTATTCTATGAAATTTCTCTCAAAAGTCCAAAACATGATTCGAGAATTTAGATAATTGTCTAAATGAATTAATATTTACTTTAAATAATAATTGGTTTATTGTTGAAAAAAAAAACAAAAGTAAAAATTCTCCTGCATAAATAATTTCCATTATTATAATCATTCATGACTTTTGATTGAAAAATAATTATTTCGAGATACAACTTTTATGAAAAATAAATCGTCACGAAACGACGAAACGTAAAATATACTTTAAAATTAAAATATGAAAAATCTTTTTTTACTATATGTATCGTCTCATTTTGATACATCTCATCTTTTTTTTTCATTTATCATATTTATCGTATGATCAGATCCAAAAACTGGGAGGCTTGCATAAAAGAATTTGGCCAATCATCCAAGATGATTGTTAAAGTGCTTATTTTGGTTTAGGTATGGAAAAGAGAATCCCACTTTGTCTGGCCTAAAGCTTACATACAGTGTGTAACAGAAAACACTGGAATTCATATTATCTGTGTAACATTTCCATTAATGATGTGCATCAGATTAGTGGAAACTTCCAATTCTTTCAATATAATTTGCATTGGAAGTTTCCAATACCATATACATATATATGCAATAATAATAAGGACACAAAATTATTGGAATATTGAAAAGGATTGGAATTGGAACCAATTTCAATAGAAATCATTGGAAGCTTCCAATGCACATCACTGCATTCCATGCAATACCCAAAAGCCTATGTAGATTGCATAATCTGACTACATTTTTGATATCATTTTGGCATATTCAATTTAATAAATTTTTTGATTATTATCATCTTTATTATAACACGATTTTAAAAAAAAAATGTTAATAAAATTATTGGACTTAGGTTGTTAAAATTGTAAAAATCAGGCAATCAAGACTTAACCTTGATCTAAGATCATTACGATAATAATTATTCATTCAAAACTCTTTTAGAAATGCCGTTAAGTATCTTTCAATTGATCGTGTGACGATTAAAAATTTTCTCGGCAAAAGATCAAATGCTGATATATATCATTTTATTCGTTTCTTTACACTTCGATGACTAGAATTATTTGCCAAAACGGAAGACATTTTGACTAATTAACTGTGTCGTTTGATTCAATTAGATAAAGATTACTTTTAGCCAGTTTTTCTTAGTTTATTTCACCGTGCAGCACCATACTATAAAAAATTAATCAGTGGCACTAAAGACCGTCCTATCTAATAAAAGAATATATATTTACTTTTTTTCGATACTCCAATCTATTCGGCAGATTTATTCTAAATGTCACGTTAGAATCGATAAGTTTGTTAATTTGAAATGTCGAAATTGTCGATAGACCATATAAAAGAAATCAAGCCTTTTGTGCACAATAAAATGATTATTTGTTTAAAGCAAGAATATATATTTATTTATTTAAGTTTTTGCAAGAAATTACATTAAAAGATTTAGTAAACAGCTATTGTATAAGTATGTGTGAATTTACAAATGTAACAAATGTAAGCATAATAACAAATCGTTTATAAAAAATATGTTGTAGAAATATCCAGGTAGAAGAAGAATAAATATTTATTTATTTTATTCTTCCTCAATTACTTCTGGCTCAGGGACCGGCTGAGGAGCTGACTGAGAAGTACCTTTTTCACCTTTTATTTTAATCAAATAAACGTTAGTTCAACTTTTTCAAAATAAAAAAAAAAATTATTCTTACAAACTCACCTTTACTTTTCGTGGTTTTCTTTGGTAACAAGCTTTCATGAATGTTAGGTAAGACACCTCCTTGAACAATAGTGACGTTTCCAAGTAATTTGTCCAATTCTTCATCGTTACGAATGGCCAATTGAAGATGGCGAGGAACAATTCTTGCTTTCTTGTTATCACGAGCGGCATTACCAGCAAGTTCTAATATTTCAGCTACCAAATATTCAATAACTGCAGCAAGATAGACGGGTGCACTAGCACCAGTACGTGGTGCATAGTTTCCATCTCGAAGATAACGACCAATACGCGCGACTGGAAATTGGAGACCAGCCTAAAAGATTAATAATCGATATATTAACGAAGAATTAAATTAAAAAAAAATAAAAAAAATTTAAAAAAATTTTACAAAGTAAAGTACTTTGTCTTTCGATACCCAAACATACTTTTGCAGATCTTGAATATTTCTTCTTTCCTTCTGCTGATACACTTTTGCCAATACCTAGACCGCTCATTTTGTATATTTACGTGTATTATATTTTTTTCTTTAAAAAAAAATATGGTATTAGTTTATATTTCGATTAAATTTTTTGTTTTATAATATAAAACGTTTCTAGGAAATTTAAGAAATTTATTAAATGTTTGGGGGTATATATATACCTTTTTAAAAAATAAGTTTAATAGAGTTTGCGAAGTACGCGTCTGATTAGTAAGCTAGTAAGCTATAAATAGTATAATAAATCATACTTCATAAGTTTCTGACTTTATATCCTTTATATCATGGGAAAATTACTAATGGCAATAACAGACTACAGTTATGTAATTTGTCCAAAATAGGTTTAATATTATTGAAATCAGAATCTCAGATAAATCAATTTTTTTTTTGTGTAATTCTTACTTCAATATGTCGCGATGGCATAACAAAGAGTTCGTGTCATTACATTAATCATTAGTTAATTATAATTAATTATAATAAAAATAAAAATAAAAAAAAATTTATTTCGTGTATTTTATGTATTCATGGATGAGCGACCACCTTGATTTTCCCGAAAAAAAAAAATCGGAAAAAACAAGGTGGTAACTCATTTACAAAAATATATTATAAAAAAATTCAACTATTAACTATTTAATATCTTAATTTACAATATAGTTAAAGTATTATTGTACCCACAGGCCAGCAACAGAACTTTCATCTGAAATTTCTGAAGGGCCCTGGCCAGTGGGTATTGGTCATTTCCATAAATAAAATGAAAGATACATCTTTTCGATAAATGAAAATTATTAAACATTGTATAAATCTTATAGAATTTAAAGAGTATCAATATTATTTTAGGATTCAATTGATATTGGTTTTGCTTTTTATAATAAAGAGTCATTCGTAATTAATGAAATATTTTAAAATTTATAGGAATTAAAAAGAAGTGTAATATTTAAATGAATAATTATTTGGTTTGTGAAATTACATTATTGATATTAATTTTGTTTGTTTAATTTTGTGAAAATGTTTCAATTTTAATTTATTTTGTTATTTTTATTAGATTTTAAAAATTATACTCTTTTTAAAAAAAAAAAATGAAGTGTCCTCGTCCGTTTAAATAGGTAAAGGAATCAATTATATAACCAATCGTTTGCCTACATTTATTTTTAACATATATCTTTCAACAATACTCAAAAAGAGATATTTTAAAAGGGGCTTTCAAAAATTTCTTTTTTTGATAGAAAATAAACGATGTGACCATTGTTTAATTTCCATTAGGTTCGAAATAATAAAACTTTTAAGTTTGATGGCTGTTTTGGAACCTTCTCTGTGTGAGCAGTTTTTCCAAGTTTGAAAATTAATTTCTTGTTTCAACCTTGTGTTATATCATAATTAATGCTAATTATAACAGCAATTTTATTCATGCACTCGTATGAAAGCAGAATGAAAACAAAAAGAGTAATCGTAAAAGCACATCTGATGAACCACTTACAGCACTGTTTTTTCATTTATTTCATCAATGAATGAGAATAAAAACGGTTCGATTTTGAAAGTTATCAATCTTTCATCATATCGAATGGTTCAAACATTGATCTCATTGGTATTAAGATCTAACATAAAGATTGCAAAGAAAATATCTTTATTAAGTACGTAATACATATACATATCTGATATATATTATGTATATGTATGTACTATGTGTACTAAGTGTATCATTCTAATAAATCAATGATTTATGTCATCAATTGATTGTAAAACTGTAGAAAATTGAGAAAAAAAAAATGAAAAATAAATGTAAAAAATGAAAACGAAAATGAAAGAGAAATTTTTAACGATACAAAAAAAGGCAATAAATTAATTGTGTGTAACACAGGCAGACGAAATGAAAAAGCGATGTTACACGAATTTATCACAAGAACAAAACTTACTGCGGTTTTTATAGATTACATTATCTCAATTTTGATCCGTTTTTTCATTGTTTTCAATAGTTTTCAGATATTATGATAGTCCCATTTATTTACTCCCTTATTAAAAATCGAGCATATTTTTGAAGTGGACGCTGTGTTACTGCACCATCATGATGCGGGTACCTTAATATACATTTGAGGTAACATTTTCACGGTGTTTTACATAATCTTGATTTAGCTATTTATTTCAAGATTGAACTTACAGAGAACTAATGTATTATTATATTACACTTATTATGGTAAATTCTTCCTTGAGAAGAAAATTACAATTCCTAGTTTGTACAAAAACTGCATACAAATACAATGACCAAAAATCAAAGACTTGCTAGAAAAAATTGAAGTATTTCTTAATTTCTGTTAAAGTAACAACTTTTAATTCAAACCAAATTAGGTTCAAATAATCTGTGATATATTACCATATTTGACAAAAAGTTATAAATTTGAACTACTTAACGCAGTTTCTTTTTAAAAGTTTCAAGTCTGTAGATAATTTTAAATTTTTTTTTTTTTGCGCTAATAAAACATTTCAAGTAGTCGAAATGTCTTCACTTATGTTGTCGCACGAACAAAGAGCTCATGGGCCGTGGGTTAAATTACAGTCTGAGCCAAGTAAATTTCAATAAACTTTTTAAATTTATTCGTTATTCTGGTTTGGATATTAAATTTTCTTATTTTTTTACAGAATTATTCACCGCATTAATGTATGATTTGGGTGTAAGAGGAGCTCAAGCTACAGAAGTTTTTGTACTTGATGATACGCTCGATTTTGACGATTTGGGGTAAATGATTATAATTTATATTATTTTCTTAATTTATTTGAATTTATATTAATTATGTTAAATTGGCTTTTAGCGAAATATATGGATTCGTGTTCCTTTTCAGGATGATGGGAGATGTTAAAAATCTATACAAAGACGAGGAATATACACCTGTCGAAAATCCAAGTAATGTTTATTTCGCAAATCAGGTTTGAGAGGGTTGATAATTATTTATTTATTGATTTAGTCGATAGATATTTTATAAAAGATTGTTTACCAAAATTTTTATTATTATTATTTTTTTTTATGGCTGGTCTCAGGTCATTGATAATGCTTGTGCAACTTTGGCAATGTTGAATATAGCTTTAAATAACCCGCAAATGGAACTTGGTGATGATTTAAAAGAATTTAAAGAATTTACGAAAGAATTCTCTCCTCCTGTTGGTTTTCTATTTCTTCATTTTCAATCGAGAATAGATTATTTTGCTAAAATCAAATAAATTTATTAGATGAAAGGTTTCGCGATAACGAATCATCCAGCATTCCGTTTAATCCATAATTCAATGGCAAGGTACCGGACGTTCTTTGTCTTTTTTTTTTCTTGATAATGCTTTTAATGCTTTAATGGTTACCATAATTCTAATTATGTTGTTAAATTGGATAGGCATCCTGAAGAAGCCCTGGTTGTAGAAGAAGCTATTGGTAAATCTAATTCTGCAGAAGATGAACCTGCTGAAGCGTATCATTATATTGCTTATGTTCCTGTTGATGGTGAAGTTTGGCAGCTAGATGGTTTATATCCGCATCCTGTAAGCGTTGGTATGTTGATAATTTACATATAATAACGGAATTTATTTGGAAATAAATTAATTGACAAATAAATTATTATTATTTAGGAAAATATACAGATAAGAAAAAATGGTACGATGCTGCACGCGAAGTTATGCGAACACGTACACAAGGGTATGATATTGATCTTAAGTAAATCGAAAATAATCACAAAAAAAAGGTCGTTTTAATAAAATAATTTCTTTATTTGATTAAAAGATTCTATAAAGAACAAGTTAATTTTGTTCTATTAGCGATAACAAAAGATCAATTAGGTAGAAGGAAAGAGAGAGTAAAGGAATGTTTATATCTCAATAGAATTGTTGAAGCAAGGTTGAACGAATTAAATCGTGAATGGAGAGCTGCAATTGTTGATGAACCAACCGTACGTATTAAATTATATTTATCATAATTTAATATCCATTTTTGTTAACATCTCTCACTTTTTTTTAAAAACAAATTAAATCACAGATCGATGAAGTCTTAACTACGGATGAAGAAGAAAAAATTAATGAACAAGATGGTATTAAAAAAGAGATTGAAGAATTCGATTCTAATAGAGATAATATAAATAAACTCGTACAATTACGAACAAAGTGGGTTGATGAGATTCGTCTTTTACAAAAATCCATTGAACGAGAAAATAAATTGAAGCAGGTAAAGTAGATCGTAATTCTGTAACCCTTTAATATGTGATTCGTTTGATTAATAATTATTCAAAAATTTTAGATGGAAAAAACACGTCAATCATTTGATTATGGTCCATTTATTCGAGAATATGTTTCTATTTTACATGAACGTGGTGAATTAAAAGAATTGTTGAATAACGCTGAAGAAGAGGAATGTGAAATAGTTTTCTAACTAGTAAGTATAATTCTTTTCTTTTTTTATCTTTAGATTTATCAAAATATAATAAACATTTTAAGTCGTTAATATTCAAGTTCTATTAATAAATAAAGTTGATTCACATATTATTTGCCTTGGTAGATATATTATTATATCATTTTATCATGAAATATCAGTCACAAGACCAAATGATCGGATGATGAAGGACCATGTGATCACGTAGTCAATCTCTCATCCAATAAGTGTGATCATTAGGGAATTTAGGTTAAATATTCATATTATAAGATTTTATTTATTTTTATAGAATTTCAATTATTCGATTGTAAATTATATATTTGTTAATTTATAATAAATTATTTTTCAATTGGGATAATTAAATCCAATTTATCTATTTAACTAGATTTTATTTAGCCTATTTAGCCTGTTTAGCCTATTTAGCCTATTTAGACACAAAAAAAAAGTTTAATTCGTGGTACTTAGTCGTCAAAGACATGTAATTTTGCAGTTAATCAGGGTACGATACAAATTATCTATTGAATTAATTTTATTGTCCAGAGCGGACATTGACGTCCAAAGAAAAAAAAGAAAAACTTGAGAAATTAATTATTCTTAAGATTTTTATTAATTGATTAGTAAAATTTCATAAATTTCTGATAACATATTAAATATTCTTATTTATAATAAACTTAAATAATAAAAATTTCGTTAATAATTAACATACGTAATATATTTTTTTAATATCGAGATAATCTTACTATTAATTAATCTACTACACAAAAAAAAAAAAATATGTAATAACTTAGTTTTAAAATAATAATAATAATAAAATATATATTTATATATAAATTATACTTACTTTGTTACTTTATAAACTTCATAATCTTCCAAAAAATAAATTTGTCTAGGATTAATGAAAGCAAGAAGTTTTGGATAAGAAGTAATATTATCACATTTAATAATATCATTTTCAATAATTAAATCAAATCCAGTACCAAAAGTAGGACCATAATTTGAATTATAAAGATACTTATCATAATTTTTATTTGCTAATCTTGCAATAATAGGTTCATCATCATCATCAGTAAAAGATTTATCAAAATCATCATCTAAGATAATATTATTATTAAAATAAAATAAATAACTATCTTCAGATTTAACTAAAAATTCATTATCATTACAATTCCAACTATTAGGATTATAACCACCAATAATTGTTCCATTATCTTTTAATTTACATATTATTATAGTTGAACCTTTATTATCACATAAATTATGAAAATTTGTTGAAGAGAATCCATCCCTACTTGCTCTATATAATAATTCAAAATGATAAGGCATTGTTTTAATATTATAAAAATTTTTTTCTTTATAATCAATCCAACTAGAAAATATAGGTAAATGAAATTTTGTTATAATTTTTGAATTACAATAAATAGATTTTCTTGGTTTTAATGAAAAATATTTAAAATTTTTTGTAATTATATCTTTATAAAGATAATCAGGAAAAATTGGTTTAAAAGGACTTATTTGTTGATAAAAAATTTTTGAAGAAATTTGAAACCATCTAATATGTAATAAAAAATCATGTAAAATATTTTTTAATTCAAAAAAATTTTCTAAATTCCAATTAGAAAAATTATTTATATCAATATTATTATTATCAATATTATTATGATGATTATTATTATTTTCTGTTGTTGTTAATGATGATGACATTCTTTCAATACCCCATTTTAATATATAATTCCAAATTTCATATTCATCATGTATTTCAAGATCATCCCTTTGAATTAATTTAATTAAAATAGATTTTTCAATTGATAAGAATTTTGTTGATTCAAAAAAAATCTTTGGATTTTCACTTATAAATTCTAAACAATTATTTCTTAATGAATTAAAATGTTCATATTTAAATATAATTTGTAAAATATCAATTGGATCCTCTTTTATATAAATTTCATATTTTTCAATTATATAATTTAAAATATAATCACTTAATTTTTTAATACCTAATTCATCTGATGCTATAAAAAGTTTGAATACGTTTACTCCTCTTTGTTTATCCAATTCAATAATTCCACTATAAAGATACCTTTAAAAAAAAAATAATTATTAATATTGTTATAATAAAGGAAAAAGTTAATGATAAAAAAAGGTACGATAAAAAAAAAGGTAACGATAAAAAAAGGTAAGGATAAAAAAAAGGTAACGATAAAAAAAAGGTAACAATAAAAAAAAGGTAGCGATAAAAAAAAGGTAACGATAAAAAAAAGGTAACGATGAAAAAAAGGTAACGATAAAAAAAAGGTAACAATAAAACATACTATAATAAAAAAAGGTAATAATAAAACATACTATAGGTAATAATAAAACATACTATAATAATGCTATAATAATGCTATAATAATGCTATAATAACGATAGTAACAATAAAACATACTTTAATAGATGATTCATAATTTCGGGTGAAATGTTCGGTTTCTTAAAAATGATCATTCCATTTTCATTATGTATCCAATTCTTTGATAACGCGGCTTTAAAATAAGTCGATCTTGAACATAATATTAAAGAATGTGTATAAAATTCTTTTTTATTGTCATTCTCTTCAGCTTGAATGATTACATCACAATTATTTCCGCTAGAGAATAATTCTCCTAAATCATTTGATAATTCTTGTAAAAAATTATATTCGTCCATAATCGTTCATAAAAAGTAAGTATATGTATGTATGTATTTTTTTAAATAAATTTTTTGGCTTAGCATATAAAGATTTATTATTTCTTTCTTGGAAAGAAAGATGTTTATATATATATATATATTAAATAATTATACGAAATCTTCGTATTGTGAGAATGGATGAAAAAAAAAAAAATTCGAAATTCGAAAGAACCTTTTATAAAAATAATGATAAAATTTGGTGTGACAATGTTGTTAATTATAATTATCTGTTATTGTAATTATGTAATTATTTATATTTTACCCGTTTTACCCGTTTCAGGAGGTTTATGATATCACAAACCTTTTGAATAAACCGAATAAACCAAAATTTCTAATTTTCCTTTTCTTTATTGTTATACATAAAGACAAAATATTTGATTTTTTTCTTTTTGTAATAAATTTCTTCATATGTTATTACCTTATTTAACATTCACAAGATTCATCTCAAACTGATTGACGCGTTTAAACTTGCTATTACCATATTGTTACCGTATCATACTTACCATATATATAAGCATCAATTACAATATTAAACCATAATATTGGACGTAAAATTACTCTCAATAAAGCAAAGATTATCTAAGTTAATTTCCTCTATTTAGTTAGTCAGGCTCATATTTTTGTTATCTGGTGCCCCGTACCGTTATTTAACTATTGTTTACTTTTTTTTAGATTTCCCTTATTTGCTTTTTGAATTTGATGAGATGAGATGCATTTAATTAGGGTTAATTCTGATTGGATAGGAATAGTTTAGATTATTTAAACATATTCCAAGTTTCTAGTCTAGAATCTAGATAGAATTTTTCGCGTATTAAGAGATAAATATTTGCAATAGCACAAAATGTTGTATCTTACGCCACAATAGGATCGATTGGTTATATAATAAATTAATATTAGTATTAATAATATAATAATAAGTAATTGAACATTAATTGAATTGGTTTTTTAATATTCAACCATTAATTTACATTATATCCAATCATTGATTTTTCAAAGAACATTTTTTACAAGCATGGTGGTTACCGGAAAAAATAAAATTAAAACCTTGTATCAGGTGTGTAACAAAAACTTTAAAAAACTTAATAATAATAATACTGCTGCGAATTTCAGAATTTTTTTTATTAATGATTAGATAATGGACAAGTATTTTTTTATTATTATTATTATCATTTTTTTTTTTTTTAGAGTTGGATAAATATCAACAAATATTGTAAATATTGTAAATATTGTCAAAACTCTTATCATTTTGATTGGTCCAATTTGGTCACTTTTGCGTTTAAAATAGGAGAATCGGAACGAATTTTCTCCGAAAAATTATTAACGTTACATTTTATTACATTTATGTAATTGTAACATTTATCATCAATTTGATAATGGTATTATTATATCATTTTTTTATAGAAATTAATTAAAAATTAAATTTTTTATTTTTTTTACCAGTAATATTTTTCTAAAAATTAACTTGCATTAGAAATTTAGAATGATTAGATATGGTGAATGGATCGTTGTTCTATTTTTTTTTTGTTATTGTTTTTTTTTTTGTTTTGATCTTAATGAGTTCGTGTCCAAATCTTAAATTTTCGAATTCTAATTATCGATATAACGATATCGTCGGGATTTCGGGACCATATGAAAATATCGTTATATATTTAAAATTATTATACAGATACATTTATTTGTTCTCTCTCACGAAACGAACCCTTCGGTTCATTATATCAAAATTTATAAGTTTTAATATAACGATTTTTATATGTTCTAAAATCTTTAAAAAAAATCGCTTTGTCATGAAATTTGTTATATTACATAGTCGTTATAACAAAGTTCTGACTGTTGTGAGAAAGTTATATATAATATAAATCAGAAATTCGGGTGAGAAAGTTATATTTTATCGTTATATCAAAGCTTTTAATATAAATCAATAAGAAAATCAAAAAAAAAAATAAAATAACAAAAAAGCAAACAAAAATATCATTATACATCGAATATTGGAATATCGAAGATTAACTGTATTTAATTAAACTTTATTCACAAATTTTTTAAAAAATATTCTTACGTGATGAATAAAAAGAAAAACAAAGCTGCATCATTTATCATTCTAAATTATGCTACCATAAAGTTATATAACATTTCTCTTTTATGCATAAATATTCCTTCTCTACAAATATTTCTACAGTACGTCACACTTAGGTAGTACCATAGTAGTACCCTGAAATTTTATGGTAATGTACAAAATTTATTCCGTTTTTTTTTATTTATTATTCACGGAGTTGTTACGGAAATTACGGATAAAATTTTTACAGGGTATTATACTATACGGAAAGTTTTTCTTTAATTCTCCATATAATTTATTAATTCACATATGTTTAAATTGTCGCAGCAAATACTACGCTAATGAAAAAATAAATTGTAATTCGTTATCAACGATATCACGATAAAATTTGTTGATTTTTTAATCGACGGTGGTCATGTGCACTTGTACATGAATGAAAAGATTTCCACGCATAATTCTTTTTTAAGTTAATATAGTTAATTTGCGCAAACCCGTACAGTATCAACACAACGAATGATTTTTTATTTTTATTGCGCGCCACATATTATAATTTTCAGTGATATTTCGAAATGAGATAAAGTATTTAGGTATTTGAGATATTTAAAAATTAAGCATTTGGGTATTTTTTAAGATATTTTTCCAAACTAATCCTAATCCTAAACCTAACTCGCGCCCTTCTAACTCGCGCCCTTTATTAAAATATTACTCTTTTTTTTAGGGCGTGTGCTGATAATAAAGAAAGATGAATTAAATTAAATGTCTTTCTAAATGATAAATGTCTTTATTTATTACAGTGAATTTTTTCTTTGTTCAAGTATAATGAATATATGCATATTTATACAAAATAATTTACAATTTCTAAGATCAAATTTCAAAATCGATCGTTCGAATCGAAGAAATCGAAGAAAGAATTTGTCTTATCTAGATTTCTTTATAACTAACAATTAAAAAAACTTTGATTTCATCATTATGAATATAAATAATTATTGTAACTTTTATACAACTTTAAAAAAAAAAAAAAAAAAAAAAGAAAAAAAAAAAAAAAAAAAATTTTTTTTTAATTACAAATAATCAGAATTATAGGAAAACGTCGTTAATGTATTTAATGTATGTGATATGTTGGGTAATATGTTACTATTAGTATACTAGGTATACTAGTGAATTTATTAGACTAGTTGTAATTAATCGAATTAATAAATAATAAATTCGAATAATAAAAATTCGAATAATAAAATCATTAAAAATTTAATAACCAATGGAAATCAATCCTCTATAACTAACAACTAATCAAATCACCAACCCAACTAATCCAAACCTCTCTCGCTAAAAGTAACCAGTGTCTTGAAAATAAAAAGGATAAAAATTATTCTTTCCTAAAACGTAATTAATTTTTGGTATTGTTTTTAAAGCATGTAAAATAGGATCTAAATAAACTTCACCATAAACCTTGTTATCTATAATATATCTTAATTCAGTAAATCTCTTGTTCTTTTGAATATATTTCTTTAAAAATAAGAGAACATCATCAAAAATATTTTGTTGATGATGTAAAGAAATTTTTTTAAGTGGGGAAGAACAATTAGAAATCAAGACCATTAAATCTTTTGGTAAAATTTCAAGTAAAAGATCAAGATGATATAAAGTTGAAGGTAAAGATTTAGAAAATTCTACCAAAGTTTGTTGATTAAAGTAATTCTTGTGTTTACCAAATAATGTTAATTGTTGTAAATCTGATGATAAAAGGTATAAGGGTAATAAGGAAGAAATATCTTCGCTCGCTTGTATTATTAAAAATTTTAATTTTTTACATTTAAAAATCGTTAAACATAATTCTTTTGTAAAAGTTCCTAAAACTAATTTTGTTAAAGTTGAAGAACTAGATTCGAGGATCGATTTTACAATATCAAGATCGAACGTTATATTAGGATTAATTATAAAGTGAGATATCATTGGTTTACCCCAAACGCAAAAATTGGTTAATTCACAATTAAAAGAAGGAACTTCTGAATCAACTCGAATATCAGGTTCTAAAAATCTTAAAATCTTTAAATTTGGACAAGAATTTAAAAGTTGAGATAATTTTTCGTGAAAATGTGTTATACGTATAAGAGAGAGAGCTTTTAAAAAATTACTTTGTAATCTTAAAGTATCAAATACATCAGCTGTAAGAGAAATATCCCAAAATTCTCTTACAACAAATTCTTCAAGATTTTTTTGATTTTTCAATAATTTCACCAATTCATGACCAGTCCTTCCTGAACGACTTTCTGGTAAATTTATTTCTAAATATTTAATATTATGAGCGTATTTCGTTATAATTTTAAAATTATCATTTAAAGTAACTTGTTCTCTATTTTCAGTATAATTATAATATCTTCCTTGTAAATCATGAATAATTTTACAAGATTGTAATTTTGTTAAACCATTTGAAGGTTCTTCAAAGTAAGCTATATTTTGAGTATAAGCAAAGAATATTATATCAAGACTATCCAATCCTCTACATCTACTAAATAGAATATCACCGATAGCTTTATCCATATCAAAATGACCGAGTCTTTCCCAAACAGTTCTCCAATGATGTCTCTTCCATTTTGTCATCGCTTCTTGAAAACCAAAAGTGTCAAGACATTTAAGATAAATTGGATAATCGAATAAAGGTTTTTTTAAATCTGCTTGAAGGATCCACTTATTTACCTTTGTCTTTTCATCATCAGGAAGACAACTTAAATAAGTTCTTATAAGTTGCCATCCACGATCATGTTTTTGACATCTCAAATATCCAAAGGGATTACTCCAAAGAAAAGGAATAGCAATTTTACACCATAACCTATTAACTAATGTACAACTAAATAATGTTTCTATATCATCAGATAAATCACAGAAATTTCCTAAAATTTTCTCCAAACATTCGATGTCTAATTTAGCAATCGTTGAAGTTGATTTTATCGCTATAGAAGTTCCTTCAGTAGTATTCTCACTTGTTAATAATTTATCCAAGTTACCCATCTTTATTTGTGTTCTTTAAAGAAAAGGTTCGTGTGGGGTAAATTTTTTTTTTTTTATTAATAATATTGTTTTTGTTATTGTTAAGAAAAAAA